ACATCATAGATGTTAGGATTTACAACACGTAGGATAATCACATCAGATCACCAAATGATGGACAACCACACAGTACTGGGAATTATGGCTTAGCTAAGTTACCACACATTTTGTGGGGGACACAATTCAATCCATAACACACCTCTTCAGAATTTTTCCTAACTTCCTCACGGCAGATTTAAATATTCTCTCTTCTGCAGTCTTCCCATAGCTTCTTATGGTAACTGCTAAAGTAGAAATACAAGAAGTACAGCCAAAAGGCTTCTTAGAAGGGATAACGGCAAGACTTTGTCCGAACTTTGGACATGTCATCAGGAGGAATCAGTCCCCAAAGAAGGACATAAAGCTTGGTAAAGTAGAGGTCAATGAAAAAGAGGAAGACCCTCAACAAGATGGATTGACACAGTTCAACCGCACCAGCAGCTCTGCAGGAGAGAAGACCTAGTGACCTGCTGTCGTAAATATCACAGCCTAGGGAACCCTATGGGGCACTCCAACTTTATCCTATAGGGTCATTATGAGTCAGAATTGACTCAATGGCTCACAATAACAACAACACCTTGATTAGAGGTCCCTGGGTGGCACAAATGGTTTGTGCTTGATTACTAACCTAAAGGTTGGTGGTTCCAATCTACCCAGTGGCACCTAGAAGAAAGATATGGTGACCTGCTTTCATAAAGATTACAGCCAAGAAAACTCTATGGAGCACAGTTCTACTTAGTAACACATGGTGATGCCATGAGTTGGAATTGACTCAGTGGCAACAGGCTTAGGTTTTGGGGAGTTTTCCCTTGGCTAGTTAGAGAGATAGAAAATGAAAACAAATAAATTGATATTTCATGATGATATGGGCAATGAGAGGGAGAGGTAAGCACAGGAGCTGAGGCGGTGTATGGGAGGGGGTGCCTAACTTAGACTGGGAACACCAAAAAAGTCTCCCTGAGGAGGTCATCCAGGAGCCGAGTTGTTTGGAGCATCCAAGTGGGAATGGTTTTTGTGTACGTGCTTTCTCCCCACTAAATCATGAGCTTTGTGACATCAGACTTGGTCCTTTGTCCAGTCCATGGTAGTCCAAAGGTACTCACAAATATTCAGGAAATTGAATAATTCAGAAAAGATTGTCCTGTGGTTCTTTAAAGCCACTGATACCATGTTTATTGTTTGTCTCTGAATTTTGAGAAGACTTCCACTCAGTTTCCTCTTTCCTCTAGATGTTGGCCCCAATTTTGATCCCATAGATCTGATCTTAAAGTGAAACATTCCTAGACTACCAACTTAGCCAATAAATAATGCAAATAGTAAGGCAGTTCCTATAAATGCAATGTTCTCCCTTCACAGTCCCGGATTCCCACAGCCAAGGAAATTGGTGAACCTTGTTGCAGGCTCAAGACCTCAAACCATTTGGCCTGGAGAGTTGAGCCACACTGTCAGCTAACATGTTCACCTGCTTAAGCATCAAAGGCCCATGAGGAAAAGGAAAAATGTCACACCATGCCAGGCCAAGTTCAAAGTCACCAGATCTAGAGCCACCTCCCAACTGGCTTCCTGGCTCTCATGGTGTTCTTCACACTCAGTTGTCCACCCAGCAGCCAATGTTGTTTCCCATAGGCATTAGGATGAAGTACACATTCCTCTGTGTGGTAGACAAGGCCCTTTGTGATGTCTCCTTTGTCTCCCATCTTTTACCACCACTCTTTTTAATGCTCAAATTTCATTCTATTCCTCAGTCATATTAAACTACTTGCATTTCCTTAATGCATAAAGATTTCTCCAACCTCCAAGTCTTTGCATGCGCTGTTCACACTGAAGACACTGAAACCCTCTTGATAACTCTGATGCATTCTTCAAATCTCAGGTTAAATACTGTTTGCAAGGGGGAAGCCTGTCCTGATCCTCCCCACCTATAAAACCTGAACAGGTTTGCTTCCCTGTACTTCCAAAATTCACACCCTCTGCACTTATTACACTATGTTGAAATTGTCTGCTGACATGTGTTTCCCCATGTACCACAAACTCCTTGGAGTCAGGACTGTGTCTGGTTTCACCACTGCATTCCAATGCGGCAAAGCATCTGGAATGCTTCACACACGCAACAAACATCTGTTGGTTGACTTGAATAGATGAAAGAATGGTTCCAGTTCTTGGGGAAAGGGAAAAAGGACAGATTTCACCAGGAAGTTCCATGAAAGCTGGGACTTCAGTTTCTGGCATATAGTAGGTCCTTAATAAATATTTACTGAATGAATGAGTGAAGTGAGATGAGAATATTATGTAAGCCTGAATAGTCTTAATGCTTCATGGATTCCTTAGAGATGGTTTGGTCTTAAGGGAACTGGCTCTCTGAGGGAGGAAGAAAATATAACATCATGGTCAACAGTGTAAACATGAAACCATGTTTCTAGGGATTCAAAGCTAACTGTACCCCTTGCTCATCACAGGATCCTAAGCAAGTTAATTAACCTTTTTATGCCTCAGTTGTTCTGTCTTTAACTGAGGTATTCTATATGTGATTTAATGAGTTAATATTTGTAAAGCAAGAAAATACCGCTGGTTACATAAGAATTATTTAAACATATATTACAAAAATAAAACAGGAAGTACTTGTTACATGTAGTCTTCAGAAAATTGTATCAAGTCTTCAATATTTCTATAAAACAACCTTCTGATATTTCTAATTTAACTTAAAAATTTTGAGATTCATTATATTATGTGACCGTGTTCAGAGAATTCCTACCTTACATCCACCCTATGAAGAATCTTACACTGTAACTCTTTTCCGTGAGGTGTGATGTCATGGAAAGTTGAATATCTGGGACCAAACCCAGTTTTTCTCAATAACCATACGCCCTTAGCCAAGACATCAACCTCTCTGTGGCTCAATTTTTTTTTCTTCTCTTTTTTATTTAACTTAAAGTTTAATTTAAAATATTCTCAAAACCCTATGTATTTCTTTGGGTGTTTGTTCTTCCCCCCAGTTTTATTTAGTCTGCGATTCAGAGTTACACCTGTATTGAAGACCCAGGCTCCCTGTTTTCTTAATATGTATGGACAGGGCTGCTTTTCTTTTCTTGCTTTTGTTTTTCCCCCTTCACTAACTTGCAGAAACAATGAGATTTCCACCTGCCAAGAAGGTTTCACAAAGGAAAATCTGTATCATAGCATGTTTGCTCCTTCTGGATGCATGTTAAATTTGACTAGGGTTTAGGAATAACAAGGCTGATTTATCTAATCAGGCTTCTAGTTATGATGGAGTAGACAGAGCCTTCAACTTGGTTTCAAAATCCTCACTTTTTTCTTTTTATTGTGCTTTAGGTGAAAGTTTACAGCTCAAGCTGATTTCTCATACAAAAACTTATACACATATTGTTTTGTGACGTTAGTTGCAATCTCCACAATGTGACAGCACACTCCTCCCTCCCACCTTGGGTTCCCTGTGTCTGTTTGACCAGTTCCTGTCCCTTCTTGTCTTCTTATCTTGCTTTTGGACGGGAGCTGCCCATTTGTTCTCATGTATCTGAACTAAGAAGCACATTCTTAATGTGTGTTATTTTTGGTTTTATAGTCCTATCTATGTCTGAAGAATGGGCTTTGGGAATGATTTCAGTTCTAGGTTAACAGTGGGTACAGGGGCCATAGTTTCAAGGGCTCCTCCAGTCTCTGTCAGATCATAAAGTCTGGTCTTTTTGTGTGAATTTGAAATCTGTTCTACGTTTTTATCCTGCTCTGTCCAGGACTCTCTGTTGTGTTCCCTGTCAGGGCAGTCTTTGGTGGTAGCCCAGGGGCAAGGACTAGAAGGCAGGAGGGGACAGGAAAACCGGTAATAGGGAACCCAAAGTCGAGAAGGAAGAGTGTTGACATGTTGTGGGGTTGTTAACCAATGTCATAAAACAATATGTGTACTTTAACTGTTTAATAAGAAGCTAGTTTATTCTGTAAACCTTCATTTAAAGTAAATTTTTTTTTAAGTGAAAAAAAAGTACAATTAAAAAAATTAGCTGTTCGAACCCACCCAGAGGCATCTCGGAAGACAGGACTGGCAATCTGCTTCTGAGAGGTCACAGCTTTGAAAATCCTGGGTTGCCCTAAGTCGGAATCAACTCAACAGCAACTAGCAACAACAAAAGGATTAGTATAATAAAAAGGACTGACAATAACAAGTGTTGGTGAGGATGTGGAAAAATTGGAACCCTCATACATTACTGATACGAATGTGCAATGATGCAGCCACTTTGGAAAACAGTTGGGAAGTTCCTCAAAAAGTTAAACATAGAGTTACCATATAACCCAGCAATCCCAAGAGAATTGAAAATATATGTCTACCCAAAAATTTACACAAGAATGTTTATACCAGCATTATGCATAATAGCCAAAATGTGGAAACAACCAAAATGTCCATCAACTGATGAATGGATAAACGAAATATGGTATATCCATGCAATGGAATATTATTCAGTCATAAAAAAGAACAGAGTACTGATAAATGCTGTATCGTGGATTAACCCTGAAAACATTATTCTAAGTGAAAGAAAAAAAATCCACATATTATAGTTCCTCTTTATATCTCATTTACAAAGAGCTTTTGTTTCTTTATTTTTAAGAAATTATATGACTCCAATTATAAGAAATTCTCAAAATAGGCAAATCCATAGATACAGAAAGTAGATTAGTGATTGCCGAGGGCTGGGAGGAGAGGAGAATGAATAATGACTGCTAATTTGCCTTTCCACCCCAGATATACTGAATCAGATTCTGATATCTGAAGTGGAAAGGCAAATTCTCAGCAGGGTGTCTAACTGGAAAGAACCAGTTCAAAGCTCTGCTGCTAATGAGTATGGAATTTATTTTAAAGGTGATGAAAATTTTCTGGAATTAATGGTAATGGTTACACAACTTTGTGAATATTAAAAAGAAAAAGGAAGTACAGTTAAGACAGAAATAGAACATAAGTGATGTATTACTCCTTTCCTAATATATAATGAATGGACTATAGGACTGTTCTTAATAATAAATATTTATTAATTAGAGCATCTAAATGAATGTGAAAGACATAAAAAATAAAATACAAAAACAATTTTTTGATTCATGCAACACTTTCTTAAAAGGTGAATATAATCTAATTAGTCCATGGGCTGGTAAAGGGAAAGGAGCTGGCTGGCTGGCAAGAGGGTCAAGATGCCAGAAGGTCACTACCCGGTCAGGGTCGCAGCAGTGTTGGTGGATTGTTGGGCTCCCATAGGCGTGGTCTGGACCATGTTTTTTCTGGTTGTGGACTTCTTGTCCAGACTTCTAACTGCTGTTTTCACCCACTCGGCTTGTGGGTCAGCACAGATTTTCAGGCCACGTTTGGTAATAAAACTGCAATGTAAGGAAAAGAAAGACAGAGTTAGCCACATTTGCAAAGCCTTGAGGCCAGGAATTGGGTTCAGACTAGACATGAAGTGATCTTGTGCAGACATTACTGGAAGAAATAATCTTTCAGAACCACAAGACCACAAATGAACACTTTTTCTTCTGCCATCTACTTTAACATGAAGGGGAAATATCTCAGGTGATGCCCAGCTTCTTTGTTCACACTAATTCATAGGTTCCTTTTGTCATCTGTGCTTCCACATCTTGTAACTAAACTGGACATTTGAGATCATCTAGTCCAATTATGGAGTCTTTGGGTGGCACAAATGGTTAAGTGTTCAGCTGCTAAACGAAAGACTGGAAGTTCGAGTCCACCCAGTGGCACCTCAAAAGAAAGGCCTGGAGATCTACTTCCAAAAAATCAGCCATTGAAAACCCTATGGAGCACAGTTCTACTCTACACACATGGGGTCCCCATGAGTCGGAATCAACTCAACAGCAACTGGTTAGTCCAATTATTATGTAACTCCTTCCTTTTCACATCTAACACATTCATCTTCTCTTTTTGGGCAAAGGGTGATTTCTTTATCTTAATTTATTAGGGCAAAGCTTGCAATTATGTGTTAAGAAGGCTTGCTACTTCTGAAAATGAGATCCTGGAAAGAGAATGATATCATGCAGGCTAGTTTTTGACACATTTCGTTGACATACAGCAACTGATAAGCATGGCGCTCTACCTTACCCCAACCACAAGCATACCACACCGGTGTGGCTATGTGGTCAAATCCTGACCTGGACCAGCCTTCTCTAAACCTAGTCCTGAGAACTGAGCACATGTATTCATTTGGTTTCTAGTCAGATTTTTCTGCTAAGTTAAGTCTTAAAGGAAGACAATATTCTTTATTGTGATATTTATTTCATGGCACTGTACAAAGACTCGGTTAATACGGAAAAATAAAAGTGATGTTGGTTAAATTGAGGTTTTCCAGAGGAGATCAGAATTTCTATATATGGTGCTCCACCAAGCCGAGCTTTTGGTGGAACGAACTCACATCACTGCTTTCATGGAGCCCTCCTTGATGGTATAGGACTTGATTTTCTGGACTGGCAGTGACCGGGTATGTAGACTCACACAGACGCTCCTGTCTGGGACTTCACTCCCCACACCTGGTAAAGAAAACCAAACAGACAAGCAAAAATAAAACTATAAATCAACAATTACCAAGTTCAAGGGAACAAAGGGAAACTATCACCTGCTAAATTACTCTAAGAATGTTGTAAGAATACAAGGCTTCTTTCCAAAAGCGATGACTCGTATCTGCACTCTTAGTCTGTTGCACATCATAGATTCTTAGTAAACGTTCAACTAATGAAAAATAATTTAATAGGATTGCTTCAGGAAGTTTCATGGTGAACAAAGTAACTAGTTCTTACCTATCCCCATGTATATTTTCATCCAGAAATCATACAGCTAGCAGATGCCCCAATGCCACTCATTCATTCATTCATACGACAGTTACTTATTGAGTGTATGTTGTGTCCCAAGCACTATTTAAGGTACTAAGACACACATTGTCCCTGTTCTCATGGAGCATATCTTCTAGGGAGAGAGTCAGGCAACAAACATGTAAACAGATAAGATCGTTTCAAACAGTTATAAGGGTTACCGTGAAATAAGTAAAATAACACAGTGACGTGATAAACATAGAGTAATTTGGGGAAGGTAACATTAAGTAAGGGGAGGGCAGCTTGTTCCCAATGATAAAATGTATGCTATATAAGTGGGTCATAAAGTATTCATCCTCAATAGAAATGGCTCAAATGAATTAAACGTTTAAGTTTAGAGACCAATCTTTCATCTCTGAAGGGAAAAATAACCCAAGAGAGATAATAATATTAAGAGTTTGGTAAAATCTGCTCAAAGTTTCTAAATGCTGATTTTCTCCTTAGCTGAAGAGACTGATATTTGCTTCCCAGGGATACGTTCAGCTAAAAAGTATCTTAAGCAACAGCAAATAATGATAGAATTTGGTCACTAGTGTCACTGACATCAGAAAGCATTTTTTTAAAACACGGAATTAAACAAAAGATGTTCACTAACATTGCTTTCCTTCGTTCCTCCTTCTCCTTGTCATCACTCTTAGTACCCAGACTCAGTGTCCTTTATCCTCAACGTTTGCTGAACTGTCTCTTAGCTTAGTGAGAGAGAAAAACCCGCTTTTTAAAATTCTAATCTGTCTTTCACTACTTAAGCGAAAATAGTTCTCTTTGTGAAGTATCTAACATGCACTCCCAAGACCCACAGAATCCTGCTGTACTCTAAATCATGAAACCTTTTCCTTATTCTCAGCAATGTTTGTGTGTCTGTGTTATCAGTTTAAAGCATCACCATCACTCACGCTGAAGAGGGGAGAAAAAGTAGCGATTGTTTTGTCCCATTTTGTGCACAAGTAGCTAAACCCAGAGGAGCTGGCATCAAAGTCATTCCAGTGGATAACTCGGGGCATGAGCCACATGTCTGCAGCCCTCCTTACCCTCTAACAGATCATCACCTCCCACCCCGACACTGGCCTGGGTTTCCACCAAGCTATTGTCTCGGCCACATTCATCCTAATTCAGCCACATAAACCTAATTTAGTAATCTTAAACTGTTCAGTTTCATCAATATTTTTTGTTTTGCTCATAATTTCAGGGAGTTCCAGACTTTGCCACCTCTATTCTTGGACCCTTTGGGTAGCCATGACCAGGATAAGATATCCTAGTCTAAGTAATAAGTCTACAAAGAGGAGGTTGCAAGGACACTTAACTGAAGCACTAATTAGCCCCGAAGGATATTCTCTGTTGTTACCAGAGCCACAAGGAGAAATAAACTCCACCCAGTAGGAAAAAGTCACCTTTAAGAAATATGTGTGAAAGCTCAGGTGAGGTTCTGTATGTCTGAGTATCAGCTGGTTATGTCTTGCAGGTTTATTTGATACGGCCATGTATAAAGTGTGGATCTATTTGTTAGCACTAATTATCATATGGTTTCTTACAGGTTCCAGAAATTTATCATAAACAGTAACAACACTCATGACAGTAATAATAGACTCCCCCTCATACTTGAAGGTAGTATTGATTTCCTGGATATGAAGATATGTGCTTCTAGTCATTTTTTGTGTTTTTTAATAGAAAGCATTGATTTGTTTCCGAACATACACTCTCTAGCTCATCCCTACAATGCGACTGAACTCTCAAAGGCTTTGAGAAGTTATCAAGATCAATAGTAAATGGGCAAAAGCTACAGAGGCATATAATAATCATCACTGCCATTTCATAGCTAACAATCAAGGAGTTAATATTTGCAATTAATATTTTAATTATTTCCTTTTAATCCCAGGTGAGCGTGCCTATTATTATATTCAATTTACAGAGAAGAAAGCCTAGGCCCCGAGAGATTAAGAAAATTACCCCAAATCACCCGATTAGAAAGAATAAGAGCTCAGGTTCTGAATTCTCCGTGTCTTCCGAGTCTGCCAAGTCCCCTACAATCAAAATTATCACTCTCAGTTTGCACATGGGGAGTCTCAGGCTTGCCATAGGGAAAGCAGTTTATCCCAGTCAAAACCAAGTCAAAACCAAACCATGTGCCCACCGACCTCCCATCCCAGTTCCTTATCTCATAAAAATAACTTTCAACCTACCTTCCACAACGCACGCAGCAAGGCAGCAGATGGCGAGGACAGCCAGGATGAGAAGCCTCATGACTGAGGTGTGCTGAGCTGTGCAGGTAGAGGGTGAAGAAACAGCTTCTCACAAGTCCCTTTTATCCTCCAATGGTCAGCATGCTTCCTGTGGCGAGAGGGGGCTTTTGAGGTGGGTGTGCAACTACGGAAACTCTTTGCAATACTGATGATTTTTTTTTCTTTGAGAAAAAAAAAGTTCCTTTCTCCCCACTCTTGCTAATCTCACACCTTGTAGCCTTTTCCCCTTCACCTGTGGTTAATGTGTCAGTGAAACCAGATGTGTGCATAAAAGCAAACATGGTTGTCTCATCTCCTGCCATGGTCTAAATTCAGATCTTCCATTACAGATACACCCGGCGACCTTGTCAGTGTCATGGCCCAGCATGGGAGAGGCCACAGCACTGGCTCCCAGTGGAGTGTGTCAGGGTGGTCAGTGTGGTCCAGCTCTACCGCCCGCATCATGTAACATCCGTTGTGACGCGAGGCTTCCACAATGTGGACCATGGAGCCCCTAGGAGGTGAAGGGAGGCTCCTGCCACACTGAGCTTCTCATTCCTTTGTCTTTTCTTCCCATTTCTCTCCTCCACCCTCATTCAGATTGCCCCCATGCCTCACGGTCACTGTCCCCAGGAACCCAAAAAACATTTAAATAAGTGTGTTTTGAGCCTGTCTATGTGCACACGTTTACTTTATTTTGACTTTATATATATATATACATATATATATATTTAAAGCTTTTGAAAAGTTGTCTGACATCAACGTTTTATTTGGAAGACAGAAAATAATCATAATCTGATCATTGTATTAATTTTCATTATTTAATGTTTTTCCTGTGTCTGTTTGTATGCATGTGTTTGCATAGTTGTACTCATTACAGATACTAGTTTAACATCAGTTAATTGTCTTCCCATTCTCTTCATAGTCTTCTTGTTTCTACTTTAAGTAAATCTATACATTAAACAATTCTCTCATACTTACCATTATATAGATAACATCAATAGTGAAAATATTCATGAATATACACTTTAATATCATCTGAAATATTTCCCTTTAATAACCAGGAGTAGGATTACTGAATGAAACCATCTTTATAACTCTTGATATGTATTGCCATACAGTCTTCCAAAAATGTAGATTAAATTTACAACATCTCCAGCAGGGTTCTCGTTTGTTTCAATCTTTCTGGCTCTCACTTTTTTGTTGTTGTTTTTTAAAACATAAGTGTCTATAAAATGTATTTGTTAAATATATGTGTAGTTAAGGTTTTTGTTTTCATTGCTACTAAACCAAAACCAAACCAAACCTGCTGTCATCAAGTCTATTCTAACACATAGCGACCCTACAGGACAGAGTAGAACTGCCCCATAGGGTTTCCAAGGAGCAGCTGGTAGATTTGAACTGCCTGCCTTTTGGTTAGCAGCCAAGCTCTTAACTACTGAGCCACCAGAGCTTCTCATTGCTGTTAGGGACTTGAAAATAGATTTCTACATTTCCATATAAATTATAAGTCCCAAGAGACTGTTTGTTAGTGACATTTAATTTTCCAGCCAGACATCACTCCTGAACTCCAGAATGTCTTTTAAGTTATTTCCATCTGGCTATACTATCCGTCCTTAAACTCTGAGCACATCTTTCTACTTAAACAACTTCTCTTCTTATGACTCCTTGATATGGCTAACCATCCTGACACTGGCTGCCCACCTGCCAGCACCCTCTCTGCCAAAGTGCTCTTCCGATCCATAGACCCATTCAGCCTCACAACAAACATGCCAGCCAGGATGCTATCTTCCATCCAATTTCCAGAACAAAATACCTGGGGGTCATCTTAGACTTGTTGCTATGAACCTATATGTCATTCTCAGCCAAGTCTGACTAAGTATATTTTCTCAGTAGCACCTCCTAACTCGATATGTCTCCTCTTAACTTTCCACACTGCTCAATGTAGGCCTTCATCATCTCTTGTTAGGACCATTGCAGTAGACTAAATGGTCTCTCCCTTTTCAATCTATTCTCCACAGCATTGCCAGGGTAATCATTTGAAAGTCTTAATCTAATCATCTCATTTCCCCATTGAGAACTTCTTTGCTAACTCACATTGTCTACAGGATTTATTTCAAGTCTTTCATTGTCATGTACAAGGTTCTTCAAGATTTAGTGCTAGTTTTCTTTTCAAACTCACCTTCCACCACTCACTCACATGCTCCCAAATCTCTAGTCTTAACCTCTAGTGCAGTCGAACAAATGTGTCACCCTTTTTAACACTTCCTTACCTCCCCACATATTGTTTCCTTTACCTGGAACACCCAGCCCAACTCCCTAAAGAGCTACTTGTAAACTCCTCCTCTCCCTATAAGTCTAAGTTCAAACAACTTTTCGTGTAAAGCCTTCCCCGAATCCTCTGATGAGATTAAGTTGTAACATCCTCCATACTGTCATGGAACTTTATTCCTGGTGCTGTTATATGACTTGTCATTGTTATCACTTGTTATTGTTCTTAGCTGCCGTCAAGTCGGCCCATACGCAATGAGATCAGACCGTCGTGATCCATGGGGTTTTCACTGGCTGATATTTAGGAGTAGATTGCCATGCCTTTCATCCTAGCCTGTCTTAGTCTGGAAGCTCTGCTGAAACTTATTCAGCTTTGTAGCGACAGGCAAGCCTCCACTGACAAGTGAACCGTGGCTGCAGTTGAGGTGCATCGCCAGGAATAGAACCCAAGTCTACAACATGGAAGGTGAGAATTCTACCACTGAACCACAACTGCCCCTATTGTATCACTGATCTCATTGTATTCCCCTACTTGATTACATTTCTACATCTCCCATTAGATGACAGGCTCCTTGAAAGTATGAAACCTACCTTAGTCATCTCCACATCCCAGCACTAGCAGAATGCCTGGTATGTAGAAGTCGCTCAGCAAATAGCTTTTGAAAAAATTACTTCTTTTAAGCAGACCAAAATTATGACTTTTGTGTATTAAATGAAGGATGATCACCCAAAAACATAAAGCTAGGAGATTGTGCCTGTGGCTTTCTCTCATGTTTTCAACCAAATAGACAAACTGATCAATGGCTGAAGTTTCATTTATCATATGAAATGGAAATGTCTTAAACCCCTAAAATGAATTATTCACTTTCCTGTTTTCAAAGTGTGCACTAGAGTCTTTGGTGTAGAAGAATTAAGTAACAAATAAGAAAATAGATACTTAGTGCAAAAATGAGCATTATCTCCTAATATGCAGACATAAATGTACAACAACCAGTTGAAGCATATTAGTCACGATAAATTTGTTTTGTCCTTGAATCCTCTTTCTCTTACACACCACACCTAATCTGTCAGCAAATACTGTTGGCTCTCTCACTATCCTTACAGCCACTTGACTCACCTCTCACCTGGATTAGTGCAACAGACTTCTAAGTGGTCTTCCAGCTCTCACCCTTGCCCACTTTTAGTCAACTGACCACAGCTACTCAGGTGACTATTTCAGAATGTAAGTCACATCAGGTCACTTCTTTTCCCAAACACTTTGATGTCTCTTCCCTTTTATGAGTTAAATCTAAGTCTTTACAAAAACCAAACCTGTTGCCATCGAATCAATTCTGACTCATAGCAATCCTACAGGACAGAGTGGAACTGCCCGGAGGGTTTCCAAGGCTGTAATCTTCATGGAAGCTGACTGCCACGTCTTTGTCGAAATCTATGCTCTCTTCTCCCATTCATCCTCCGACATTATCTCTTGCTACTCTCTCTCCTCCTTTCACTCTACTCCAGGCACAGTGACCCCTTGTTGTTTCTCAGATATCTCAGTCATGCCTCTGAGCCTTTGCACTTACTGTTTTCTCTGCCTGGTACTCTCTTCCCTCTGACAAAGCATGGTTCCTTCAATTCTTTGGTCAAATATTGCCTTCTTTTTGTAGCTTTCCCCGACCATCCAGTTTAACACTTCACACATACAACAACCCTGGTATCATTTGATCTCTCTTTGCTGCTCTATTTTCATTCATAACGCTTAGCACTTTCTAATATGATAATAATTTACTTACTGATTTTTTATTGTCCTTTTCTTTCCAGGAATTGTTTGTCTTTTTCACTGCTGCTTCCTCAGAGCCTAGGACAGTGCCTGACACAAAGTAAGTTCTCAATTAATATCTCTAGAATAAATGTAAGTCTATATGAACGTATGAATATATGAATGTGTGAGCATATATGTGCATGTGCAAACACAAACCTTCAAGGTCTAGTAGTCTGTAACACTGGTACTGCTTATATATGTGTGACCACAGAATGGAATGCTAGAATTCATTTTTGAAGGAAAGCATTATTTTTTGATGGAAGAAGACAGAAGCATAAGGGGTGAAACAAAAGGAAATTCAACACTTTCTTTTTCTTTTTACTTTCTAGTCTGAATATTTTCATTCACTTGAAAAAATTACTTTTTACCTCATCATGTGTTTATTAGCCATAGAGATTTCCTCTTCTGTAGAAGGCCTGTTTGTGTCATTTGCCTACTTTTCCCTGGGGTCACTTGTCTTTTTCTTAGTGGTATGCAAGAATTCTATATTTTTTAGACTAATTCTTCATCATTTGTAGGTGTTGCAAATATTTTCTCAGTTTGTCTTTAACAATAAATTTTTATTTCTCACTCACATAAATAGCCAGTGGGGCTTATTTGAAGGCCTCTACTCAAAATAGTCACTCAGGGACTCAGGCTGATGGAGGTTCCATTTTGGAATGTGCTTCCGTGATGGCTGGGAAAGAGCAGAACTACAGGTTTCATACTAGCAGTTAAATACTTGAGCCTGGCAAGGCTGGTGCCCCTTCTGCTCACAGCCCATTGGCCATAACTAGTCATATGGTGTCTTAGTCAGGGTTCTCTAGATTCCTGTAGGCTTGTGTCCCAAAATTCACAGGTGAGGAGATGGGAAGAGTGAAGAATGAAGGAGCTCTGGCAAGATGCCTATTTATAGACTATAAGCAGAATACACCCTAAGGAAACTTCCTTTTTGCTCTTAAGGCTTTCAATTGGTTGGATGCGGCCCACCCATATTATGGAGGGTAATCTGCTTTACTTAAAGCCAACTGATTTAATCATATGTAACTACAGGTAGTCCCCCACCTATGACAGGGTTCCATTCTGATGACTCTCTCGTAAGTCAGTTCTGACATAAGTCCAGTGCCTCC